GGCATGGTTAGAGGGTATATATTTACATAATACCAAGGCGAAAATTGTACAAAAGGTAAAATCAGTAGATGGTATAAATTGAAAAGCACTCCCATTTCCCTCACCCCCACCCCAATCATTAGCCTCTTTCTCAGCATTTTAGTCTGTGCAGTGCACAAAGCACTATGGTAAGAACGCAGCAATGAATAAGGCATTTTCCTGGCCCTAAAAGGGACTTTCAGTCTAATGAGTCAAAGATTCATAAACAAGATGTAGAAATGGAATTATATGTGATATGCAGTCCGTTGGCGGCTGGGCAGCCTTGAGATATGATGCAAACGTTGCCCTCAGATGCAGACCCAGGTGTCTGTTGTCATCCTCTCCCTTCTCCACTTTACCTAAATAACCACATGACCTTAAACAAATACCTAAGATCTCTTCACCCACCGTGTGCACTTATAAAGTGGCTGAGATAATTCCTTCCTATCTGATGAGTTTTGAGAATTGAATTCCAAAATAGGTAAGAAAACACTTACCTTAAGGCAGACCAGAAGTATAAGGTTTCACTGTCATCACTACTGTCATACAAAAGTATACTGTGAAGAGTCATTTTTAGAAAGCTCAAGAACACAAGGTCACCAGATGCTAGCAATAAAAGTTTCCAATATTTAAAAATTGGGAGAGTTCACATAAAAATGACTTCCCTTAAAAAATATGGATCTATTCACAATGGACCTGCATTGCCACATGGCAACTATTTTCATTGCTGAGGAACTGCGGCTCCCTTAGCACGTGTCCTCCAGTTTGCCATAAGCCTCACCACTCTCTTTTGTAGCCCCAACACTGAAACCGATGTCTCTTGTCACTTATCGTTGTGTTTGCCCTTTCTTGGGGTAGAAAAATATTTCAGAACCAACGTTCCTATCAAAAATACCAGGATAAAGCTATTCTAAGAGGGCCAGGAGATTTTTTTTTTTTTTTTACATCTGACCTGCTTTCCTGAAGTCATTGGAGTTTGCAATTCCAATTCAAGATCTACAAAATATTCCAGCTGAAGGGGGCCTAGAGGTTAACTAATCCAAGCCTCCTGTGTTTGAGTTCCAGAGAGGTTAGGTATATTATGTAAATAAAATGCTTAGTATTATCATAAAACACTGAAGCAGTAGGGTCCATCATTGTTATTATTACTAAAGTAGTAATTCTGGATTCCCAGGTTTTTCAGTCATCTAGTCAGCCAGTGCATATGCACTGAGCAGTGTAATCAATGATAAGACACTTGAGGTTTCTGACCCCATTTTCTTCATCTGCTTAAAAGAAGCAATAATACCTGTCCTACTTACCCTGCATGTTCAAAAATCAATTGTAGGTGTGTTTATGAGCCACTTAGTGGAATTTATGGTGCTGAACAATTTTTTATTACTACTTTCTTATGAATTTAACTGTGAAAGTAAAAACTAGGGGTTTAAAAGATACCTGAGATACCCTAAGTTACTTAACCTTTGTTAGAATTTACATTTTTCTCAAGCTCAACTTGTCAAATGAATTAAGTGCCTAATATTATCCAACCAAAATATTTAGATAAGTCTAGAATAATTTTTTTGGTTTACCTTTACTTTGCATCCCAGAAATTAAATCAGAGGGGAGAATGTTGGTTTAGAGAAATAGACTGACGAATAATTTACATTTGTCTATTTTCCCTAAGGAAAACAAGAATTATCAGGCACAAAACTGTGCCCATTTTGCTAAAGTACAAATTGAGTTCAGAAACAGACATAAATTGTTCACGTAATAACCCACGTGGTGCACCTTATTGCTTCACATGGTCCCATGACTTTGGAAGGTGTGGTGAGGACAGAAGCCCTGCCCATTTTTCTTTTGCACTAGACCAGGATCCTGGTCTAGAGGAAAGAACTTGGAACACACCGGGGCTGGAATTTCTCTCCACCTACCAGCAGTGTGTGTGTGAGCATGTGTCATACATGCATAGGAGAGCCGCTATGTTTTGATCAATTTGTACAGTGTATTTTGCTACAACTGAATAGCTCTCTGTATGGCAATAGTTGGACAATGATGTTCAGTGTAGGATTGAACTGGGTTGACCTGTCAGAGCAAGAAATTTCTGACCTGTTAGGTCAGAAATTATCTGTAATTGTTTATTCATTCATCTATTAATTTGTTTATTTAGCAAATACTGAGTGCTTGTGATATTCTGGACATCAACATTATAGGAGGGAAAACAAGGAGACAATACCCCTACCCTTGTGAAGTTTATATTCTATACTAGAAGATTGGCACTAAATAAATACCTTAAGCATATAAACAAGATAACTGTGTTGTAAGGGCAATAAAGGAACTAAAGAGGAGATAACAATTCCTGTCAGAGAAGGACTGTCTGAAGGTGTCACACTTGACCTAAGATATCACTGTATAGATTAGTCAGCCAATGTCAAGGACAGGAGAAAATACTAGGGAGAGGGAACAGCGAGTACAAAAGCCCAAAAAATGACAAAAGGTTTGGCATGTGCAGACGGCAGGAGGGAGCCTTGGGCAAGGGGAAGGGTGGTGTGACCTGACATTGGACAGGTGGGCCAAGTCTTGCAGCACCTGCTACCACTGCTTCTCACCCGGACTACTGCAATAGTCCACTGGCTGCAATGACACAGGCTTGGACTAGAGTCAATGCAATGAGAACAAGGCAAGGGCTTAGGATGTGTTTTAGAGGTAAGAGTGACGGGACTTAATGATGGCCTGGATTCAGGAATGAGGAAAAGAGAAAAACCAAGACTGACTTCTGGGTTTCTGGCTTGAGCAACTGAAAGGATCCTGGTACCATTTTCTGAGGCTTAAAAGTCAACTAACTTGCCAGGCCTCGCTTGTCTAAGACATTGAAGTCTAGTCTGTGTGAATTCACTTTTATAGTTTTGGGATTTTTTCAATCTGTGATGTACAGCTACTAGGCTAAATTTCTAAGCTCTCAATTAAGTTCCAAGATTTGCAATTAAGTTCTCATCTACAATACATTGGTAATATAGAAACATCCTGAGGTTCAGAATTAAGTAATACTATCAGTAATCTAGAGGTGATTTAAAGTATATAGGGAAGGCTGGGCGCGGTGGCTCACGCCTGTAATCCTAGCTCTCTGGGAGGCCGAGGTGGGCGAATCGTTCGAGTTCAGGAGTTCGAAACCAACCTGAGCAAGAGTGAGACCCCGTCTCTACTATAAATAGAAAGAAATTAATTGGCCAACTAATATATATGGAAAAAATTAGCCAGGCATGGTGGTGCATGCCTGTATTCCCAGCTACTCGGGAGGCTGAGGCAGAAGGATTGCTTGAGCCCAGGAGTTTGAGGTTGCTGTGAGCTAGGCTGACGCCATGGCACTCACTCTAGCCTGGGCAACAAAGTGGGACTCTGTCTTAAATAAATAAAGAAAGAAATAAAGTATAGAGGGAGATACGTACATCTTCAGGCTCTACCATCCTCCTTGAGTTGCCTTGACCCTGAGGCACATCCCCTCATAATTGTAAGCTGTTGTCACAGTTCTGGGAAACACATGGGCCAAAGAAACACTGAGCCAAAGAAACGGGTCTGTTCCTGCTCTGTGTCTATTTTAGTGAAAAAGAAATATGCAAATACTATGCCATTTGATATCAGAGACTTAAGGATCCACAGGTTTTGGTATCCACAGGGGGTCCTGGAATCAATCCCTAGCAGATACCAAGGGACAGCTGAACAGCAGAGCAGCCACACTCTGAATCTCTCATATCAATAGCCCCTCAATCATTTATGATATTACAAGGAACAAAAAAATTCAACTTAAAAAGCCTCACACAGGAAAGATATTTATTGTCTCACGGAAAAAGAACAGAGCAGTTCCAGGCTGGTTCAGCAGTTCCCTGATGTCCTCAGGGCCTCCGGCTCTTTGCCTCTGTGTTCTGCCATCCTCCTCAAGTGGCCTTGACTCTAAGGCACATCCCCTCGTAGTTGCAAGATGCTGCCACAGTTCTGGGAAACACATGGACCAACATTAGGCCAAGGAAACAGGTCAGATCCTCCTCTGTGTCTATTTTAGTGAAAAAGAAAGCTTTTCTCAGATACCCCCCAGCAGACATTTCCTTGAGTCCTTATCCATAAGGTGCCCAGTTTCCCATTTAGGAGAAAGACATTATCTTAAACTTTTCTCCTTCTCCTTTATTCCTCTCATTCTCTATGACTTACCCATTTTGGTTTTTAAAATTCTGTTGCCCGGCTGTGTGTGGTGGCTCATGCCTGTAATCCCACCACTTTGGGAGGCCAAGGTGAGAGAATTTCTTGAGGCCAAGAGTTTGACACCTGCCTGGGCAACATAGTAAGACCCCCATCTCTACAAAAAATTTAAAAAATTAGCTGGGCATGGTGGCATGCACCTGCAGTTTCAACTGCTCGAGAGGCTGAGGCAGGAGGATCCATTGAAGCTGAGAGTATAAGGCTGAAGTAAGCTATGATTGTGCCACTACACTCCAGCCCGGGCAACAGAGTGAGACCCCGTCTCTAAAAAAACAAACAACAACAAAAAAAATCTGTTGCCTACCCTCTAATCCCTATGTTTATTAATCCACCTGAGGACCCCACCCCACTCCTATCCTCCCCACTTTCAACTGGGACTTCACAGAAACTGTGCACCAATGAGAAGTTTAAAATCTGTATCAGTTGTCTGAAGCTTCAAACTCATTTTGATTCTTTCCTAATCCTTTTAAATATGATATGTATTTAAATTAAGAGTAGCAGAAACAAAATGATTTAGGAAAATGATAATGTTATCCTAGCCTATTTCAGTGACACTCTAACATGGTTAAGAAAATTGACTGTCAGATTTGATCAGTGCTGTTGAAGTAAATAGCCATCATTCCCAGAGTGGCTGGAGTCAAATTCTCACCCAGCAGGAGCAGTTTTAATGACTAAAGAATCCAGTAACCACAAGAAGCAACTGAACTTCAATGCATTGCTGACCTCCCACATTGCCTCTCTCTTCTGTTTTGCAGGCACAACGTGTTTGATTGCTCTACTATCAGATAAAGATCTCACTGTGGCCAATGTGGGTGACTCAAGAGGAGTCCTGTGTGACAAAGATGGGAATGCTATTCCTTTGTCTCATGATCACAAGCCTTACCAACTGAAGGAAAGAAAGAGGATAAAAAGAGCTGGTGAGCTTGTGAACACCTCCAAGGAATGTTTGCCATCTTGTTCGGGGGCAAGGAGTCTTCCTTAGAGAGCTCCTGAAGGATAAAATGTTCAGTGCCTAGTGATTAGATCAATACAGAGGCTGCTGGTGAGGCAGCCGAGACCTGACTTTGTACTGAATTTGCCCTTCTTCATGACCGAAGATTTCAAAAGGCCCAAAAAATCACTTTCCAGTTTAAAGGCTAATAAGATCTTTTGGCCCCTGGTTCCCACCTTATTCTCCCCTCTTGCCATAACTTGCTTCCCTCCAGCCATGCCAAACTACTAAAAGGTTCCCCAAAGGAACCTTGTTTCTGATATCTCTGTGCCTTTGCAAGTGCTATTCCCACTGTCTAAGTAGGTGACAGTTATTTGTCCCATAGAATTCAATTTAAGGGTGTCCTTTTGGAAGCATTTGCTGGCACACTGTGGCAAAGGCTTGCCCAATCTAGGTTGGATGTTCCTCTGCCTTTTCCCAGCATCCTATGTGGATGTCTTGAGTCATTTTTCACAGGGCATGGGCATACCTAGCTCTCTTATTTGTCTTGCCTTCCTGATTGTCACCTCTTTGAGGACAGAAGCTTGGTCTTTTTCATCTCCATACCCCAGCACCTATCTCACTGCCTGGTATAAGTAAACATTTCAGAGCAGAATGGAGGGTAGAGAGGTCCCTTATGCATTCATTTATTCAACATTCTAGGTGCTGGCAATATAACAGTGCCCCCGCCCCAAGCCCTCATGAAATTTAATTCTAAAACTGGCTTGGAGGTAGGAAAGGGAGTAGATAGATATTAACCAAAAAAATAGGTAAAAAATAAGTTAGTTAAATAATGTATGACAAGGTGATAACTGCCATGGAGAGATAAGAAGCAGGTGAGGGAATAGGGAGTGTCCGGGAGTTGCAGTTTTAAGTAGGGTGGTCCACATAGGCCTTACAAAGGTGACATTTGGCCAGAGACTCAGAAGATTATCAATTGATTATTATATTTTCATAATTAGATTTGGGGGGATGCCTTTATACCTGTGCAAGGGAAAAATTCTTTCACTCCCCAGACTGACAACTGCAGCATGTCAGCTGTTTATGATACGCTGGGCAGCAGGCCAGCCGCCTAGGGGGCAAGTGGGATGCTCATATAGGCTCATCTCTGACCAGGATGAGCCCCTGCTGTCTGGGTTTATCTGCAGATTGACTCTCAGTCTCTACAGGTCAGCTTCTGCCCAAAGAATGAATGAAATGAACCTAATCAACATTTGAGTTTTCACAGTAGGAAGCTGTACTGTTAAGTCAAAATGTGTTGAATTTTATTACATCCTCTTGCTTCAGTGGCTGCTTGAGATGCAGAATAATTTTTAATGAAAACTTTGGTAGGTTTTCTGTGGATGAGATGGAACAAATGATGTTTTAGGGGCATCTTTTAAGCTTTGATGAGCTCTAGGCAGGATGAGTGAAATACTCTGGTTTCTTTACTTAAGACATCATCTCCCTGTAAGAGTCCTCTGTTAGCCTGGACTTAAGATATGATTAGCCCACTGTCCCCATAAGCACAGGCAAGGATGTGTATACAATATACCTGGAAATATCACCTTAGCATTCAATGCTCTCTTCTGAAATGCCATGGCCATTTTATCCTCTCTCCTATTCTCTGCCATACCCACCACCCACGTCCCCACCCTACACTGATTCTTTATAAAAGGAAATTTGGACACCATTTCTAAGGACGTTAATCTAACTTGCTCTGTTCTTTCATGTAATTTGTCAGTGGTATATTTTATAGCAAGGCTTAAGGAACAATGATTGGTTTTCTCTGACCCCAGCCTTCCTTTCTGGACATCTTTCCCCTTCCTGCTTAGTATAACAACAAGCTCCAGCTGGTCTGGGCCAAATACATGTTGGCCTGTCTCCAAGCCTTGTGCTGTTTCCAATGTTAACAGCAACATCAGCTGCCATTCACTGTGTGCTCACTCAGTGCTAGGAACCAAGCCTAGTGCTTTACACATATATTTTTCTCTTTACCTGTCTTATGAGGTTGGTAATATTCTCATTTTGCAGCCAACAAAATGGAATCTTAAAGAGGCTTGTGTGCTCTAAGGACACATAGCTAGTGAATAGTGAGGCCAGAATTAAAACCCAGGACTGCGTGACTCCAGAGCCCATGCTCTTGCCCACTAGACCAAATACTTTCTAGAATGTTCTCCTATATTTATACTCATAGAAATCCTACCCATCATTGAAAACTCAAATTTAATTCTCGCTCCTCTCTGATCATCACAACTAGAAATCGTCCCTCCCCCTTCCATTTGCCCAGCATGTAGCAGATACTAGTCTCCCCCTTTGACAACCTCTTTGTGTTTGTCTCTCCTGCTGGGCTGTCTACTTCTTTAGAGAAAGACCTGTATCATATATAACTTCATAGCCTTCAAATTGCCTTGCATGGAATAGGTCTTTAGTAAATATCTGACAAATATGTGAATGAACAAAATTCTAGCTCCTTTATGAAAAAATAATAATAAATATTATTGAGTACATATCATGTTCAGGCACGGTGATTTATATGGGGTAACTCCTTTATTTTTCAACAACTCCCCATGGAATGGATATTGTCCCCATTTTACAGCCAGGGAGACAGGATCAGATAGAGCTTCTCATCCAAAGTCAGATATGGCTAGAAGTCACAGAACTGGAAATCAAATCCAAGCAGTCTAACCTAGTCCTTTAACAACCATACTAATATGTGCCTTTCCTTAATCCCAATCCTATTTGGGGCTGTTTTGAGACTATGTAGGCACAACCAAGAATGGCCTCAGGCTAAACAATGTATACCAATGTTGTCTCTGGTGCCTGTTCACCAGCCTTTCAGCATTCCTTTGCCACTCTCCTTAAATCCCTACCCTGGTGCTCTCCACAGTCAATCACTGAGCTGCTATGGTGTTGAGTTAAAACCAATGCCTTCCCCCATACCTGTCCCCTACCTTCAATACTCTTATTGATACTTTCTTGAAGGCCTTCAAGATGCCAGGAAAGAGAGCATGAGGATCAACCAGTAGAGTATCAAAACCCTGAGTCATGCAGCAGAACGCTGCTCAGTCCTGGGAGTGACAGGGATGAGGGGCTGTCCCTGCCCAGCTCACATGCAGTAGGTCAGCCTGTTGTGCACTCACCCAAACTGTACCAGCTGCTCAAGCTAATGGGCTTGTTCTCTCTTTCCAGGTGGTTTCATCAGTTTCAATGGCTCCTGGAGGGTCCAGGGAATCCTGGCCATGTCTCGTTCGCTGGGGGATTATCCACTGAAAAACCTCAACGTTGTCATTCCAGACCCAGATATCCTGACCTTTGACCTGGACAAGCTCCAGCCTGAATTCATGATCTTGGCATCAGATGGCCTCTGGGATGCTTTCAGCAATGAAGAAGCCGTTCGATTCATCAAGGAACGCTTGGATGAACCTCATTTTGGGGCCAAGAGCATAGTTTTACAGTCATTTTACAGAGGTTGCCCTGACAATATAACAGTCATGGTGGTGAAGTTCAGGAATAGCAGCAAATCAGAAGAGCAGTGAACCCTTCAGGGGTCTCAGCTGCCTTAGACTAAAGGACTTTCAACACACTGGTCTCTTTTAACATAGTGAAAGGTGTGGGAGTTGTAATTAGGATCATCCATCCCAGACACGGAATTCCCCTCTCCCTGGTGGTCTTAGGTCTATATCCAGTGATGGACAGAGGGTGCTCTTGGCCAATGCAGTTGAGAGGCTGGAAAGTGGTTTCTTCATGTTTTCCCAACACGTTCATCCAATGTTCAAAGTATATAAATAGCTGTAGATTCACAGGTATGAACTGATTAATGTACGTGCCATGTAGTCTCCCTTTTAAGATTCTTTTCAACATCCTGTTCAGGCTCCTCCAGGCATCGGCCATTGTGTCCTCTCTTTGGAACGGTGGGACAGGCAGGCCTCCCAGTGCTGCAGGAGCCCGGCTGCTGTGAGTGGTCGGGTGCTGAAGTGGCCACACCTTCTGTGGAGAGGCAGAGCTATCCTGAGAGTGCTTTCCCCTCCTGAGCCCAGGCGCTCTGCTCAGCAGCTCAGAAGCGGGTTTGGAGTGGTTTATTATTCAGTGGCTGTTCTTGGAGACAGAGGGAAGCAGGGAGGATCAGTGGCAGCCACCTACACAGCAGAAATAACCCTCTTCCCTCACTCGCTTTATTAGTTAAATAGACTTTGTATACCACCTGACCAGCCTTTGTGAGTTTATCCTAATCATGCATGACCTTAACCTTTTGCTTAGACCTTACCGTATGTAATAAGCAGCTGTTAACTTCACCACCAGACACCATCATTTTTCATCTTACATTACCAAAAAAACATGTTAGGGGAAATGAAAAAAGCAAGTCACAATTCCATAATTTCTTCCGTCTTTAAGGGTAGATAGAGGAAAACAATGATGAATGAATCACACTGCCCCTTGGGAAGTAGGCTGTTTGCATTGGAAGAAAGGAGTGAGCTGGTGAGGCTACCACCCTGAATGGAGCCCCAGCTGCCAGTTTTTGTGTGACCCCCCACCTCCATACTAGTAGCTTTTAAGTGGCTAGAAAGCCACTGCTTGAAAGCAGTGTTCTGGGAAGCAGCAGCCTAGAACTGCCTGTGTATTCCTTGAAGTGTGCAGAGTTCCCAGGCACTGCAATTTGGAATTTGGTAGGAAATTACTGGAATGTGCTTCTCCTTGACAATGAAAAGTTAGCAGCCTTTAACATTCGGTTGCAAACGCCAGTCCACACTGGGTAGCTTTCCCTGGGCAAACACAAACCACTCCACACAGCCTACAGGGGAGGCAACCAAGGGACACCTGGGGGACCTGTGTGCCATGGCAACAACACTAAGTGGGATTCAAGTGTTTACCCATATTGATAAGTGGCCCAGAGTTATTTTAGGACCTGGCTTGCTGTTCTCCATTTCCTATCACCAAAGTCTCATTTTTCCAACCTCAGTATTATATATGTTAGTCTAGAGAAAATGCTGGGTCATTTGTCTTTGCCTGACTAAGGTGGCTCAAACAGCTAGATAAGATTTTTTTGTGTCCCCACCCTTCTGTGTCTACCTGGTTCTGTTCTTCCTGAGTGGGCATTTGCTGTCACAGCTTCTCACAAGCCCCCTTGACTGGCCACCTCCTACCCCTGGTGCCTCACCTCTGCCCTCCCTCAACTGCAGAGCTTTCCCAGAGCTGTTTCCGGGAGAGAACTCTGGAGAATGGAAATATTGCCTGTGTCTGCTGGGGAATGTAATCTGTCCTGATTCCTCCAAACACCCTCCTCTGTACTGAGCATTACTAATGGTTTCCCAAGAAATTTGCTTACTTTTGTATAATATGTGTTTAAATATTAGAATTAGAACTGTGGTTATTGTTTCTTTAGCCATCGAATATTCTAGTACAAAATATCTGCCACCATTTTAGATTTAAGCATTTGTCTATTGAGAGACACTGGACATTTGGATGTGCGTATTTAGGGTGGGAACGGGGAGGGGAGTGTGGAAAACAAAGGCTGCTTGTGATCGGTCCTCAGACAATCAGGTCAGGGGGCTGAGTCTGCTCGGAGTTTCAGGACGTTCTGACTCTGGAGAGTCACCACAGCCCACCATCTAACTGAAGTCAGGAATCAACAGTGTCACCATTTTACAATCTGTAGTCAACTTTCTGTTTTTATTTTTAACTTAACATACAAATGTATAACAATAAGGGAAAGACATTTTTTAAACTTCACAATCATTTTTATTGTCTAAAATGGAAATAGTAATGTTTTGGTGAAGATGAAAAAGAAAAGCTACTTAATTAGTATTTATGTACCTTGCAAAATTTCTTAATAGGTGATGCTGAGTGCACGAGTTACCTAAGTTTCCCTCTAATTGTGGTTCGCAAAGCATCTTCTAAATTTTACTTTGTAGAATTAATTCATTTCTGACTTTAACCAAATAGAGTATATATTTCCTATTCCCTTTCTGCCTCTTTTCCCCCACTGTGGCTTATAGATTTTTAAGAGATAGAAGTTCTAGGCAAAATAGTAGCAGTCTGATTTAATACTTAGGATAGTTGTGTCCAAATCAGAGTATATTGTTGTTCCCTTCCCCCATGTCCTCCTAATGCTTTCTCCCCTGACCCTTTTCAAGCTGTTGCAGGTCTGCACACAGCGCTCCTGGGGTGCCCTATGGCTCACTGGCTGTTCCCCTGCTCTAGGGACCCAGGAATCTAGCCTTAGGGGAATAGGTTTGAGAAGTTTGCATGTGAAGCTTCCCCAAACAGTACTGCCAAAGCTTTGGAATTGTCACCCAAGGCTGCCCAGACTCCCTAGCTAGCCTGAGTTCAAATTGCCAATAGTCCCCATGGTGCCAAATTTTGGGATGGTTTTACAAACTTTTAGAAATGAAGCCAGAAACAACCACGTACTCGTGAGCCCCCAGCAAGATGCCAAGCCCAGGTCCTCATTGGTGCACTGCTCTGTTGCTGCTCCACTGGCAATTTGTATTCTTAACATGGGTTGGGGTTGAGGGACAGGCAGCCAAGGAAAATTTTTTAAAAATTCATTGTATTTACAGTTCTTTAATCATAGGAATAAACAACACTTACATAGAAAGCTCAAAGCTAGCTCCCAAGACCCGCATTTATTTTATGTGACCAACTTGCCCAAGACAATTACCCCTGAATTGCTGTTCTAATACAACAAAACTGTATGCATATGTACATACTACTGGTAACCAGTGGCTACATTCTGTTCCTTGCTGTGCATTGAGGTATTGGCCTCTTGAATCTTGTATATATTTTAAGAGTATTACACAGAGAGTGTTATAGTGAAGGAGCATATGCAAGCTGGATAATTTACAACAGGCCTTATTTCATACAAGTGTAATTATTTCAACAGGATTGCATGAAAGTGATGGCATTATCATTTTAGTCCAATCTGAAATGATTCTAGGAATTTGATTACACTATTGGATTGGATCACTGGGATATTTGGAAATACACAAGTGATTCACAGGTGCAATGAACACTTTTTTCCTTTGCCAGATATACCTTGATTTTCCTGATTTTTTCTGTCTGAGTTGTTGCCATGTCTATTTTGCAACTGGGTCAATGAAAGGTCTATGTTTAGAAAAGGCAATATTTCATTGTACATTTCAAAGTATAGGACTACATACTTTGTATAAGACTTTCTTTTCCAATGATTTTAGAAATTCTTCTTTCCTTCTTTTGATCCATCATTAGACTGATTTTCCCTTAATATTCCCCAAAATTGCCTTAGCATATCACACCAGCATTCCTGATTCAGCTCTAGAAAAATTATATGACTGTTAGATATCATACCTGTTTAATTGCCTCTGGATTAAATCATTGATATCTAGACTTTTGAGCTAGTTAGCTACTCACTGCAGAAGTAATAGAATCCAGTGTTTCCCAAAGTATGTTCCAAAGAACACAGGTTCCAAAGATGCTTTTCCACATACAGGGTTTCAGGGTCAAATGAGTTTTGGAAGCACATACTATTTTAGAAAGTTAATGCTTAAGAGCACATCAAAGGCTCTAGTTTAAATGTCCTGTAAGAGAGGGGAAAACACATCACAATATGTACTTTCAATTAGCACTGTGTTTTCCAGAGTAATTTGACCACAGAAGCTTTTTTGAGTAACACCTAGTAACATTCCAAGGAACGTGTGTTCTACATAATTCACTTTGGGAAATATGTTGAATGTTGAAATGTTGCTGTTTTTTCATTCATTGTGACTCCTAGTTGCAGCAGTATAATTTGCAGTTTAGACGCACTAATCCTTTCACATAAGAGGCTGACTTGTTAATAAAAGCAATGTTAAAAAATAGCATTTAATGTGATGTAATATGACCACCAGTAGCCTCACATTGATAGCAAAGTCCAACAATCCTACTTGAAACTCTAAACATTATCTCCCTCCTTTTATGTGAATAATAAGCAAGAGCCTTGCCATAGGTAGGCATTTCTCAGATTCATTCCAAGACCTTTCATTTGCTTTTTCTGCAGTTAACTTTGCTTTCCAGATTGAATCAAAATAAATATGTTTTACATTTCAACACTATGTGATAGTAGAAAATAATAAAAAAGGAAAAAAAGTCAATTGGCTTTAATTCATTTTGGAAATTTTAACATTTTAAAAAGTGTCTGCTATATAATAATGGAAATGTAAACCATTAACACTTATTTACTCTCCTCTCTTGTTCTCTGCAGATTCAATGAAATAATTTGAAATTAATTAGAGCTCATATGTTTTAAAATTCTCGTCTTGTGTCACCCCACCTTTCATATTTTATGTATGTAGTTAAATTTGGCAAGTTATCTCTTGCTTAAAATGTGAGGCTTGACTAGAGTTCCAAGTACTCACTCAGCTGGGGCAACATGTCTGGGAAGCTGAGAGATTACCCCAAAATAATGTGTGAAACAACTCTAGTCAAAAATATGGTACAGTGTGAGTTTAGGATAAAGTCATTAATTTAAAATTACATCCAATATTTCAGAATAACCCACCCTCTAGATATTATCCAAATAATAAAAAACTAAAAGTAAGATTTCTTAGGCTAGGTGGCAGATTGCAAAGGGCAAGGGGTAGTCAATACTGTGAGGCTTCCATTAGATACGTATTTCTAAACATGTTTTCTAATAATGTAAATTTTTGCTGATTTTTAGCAACATTAATACTTTGCCCATTATTTGTTATTTTTTAGCACTGTTAAAGCTGCAAGGGTTGATTAAGATAATTTTTATGTGTTTGGTAATAACCACACCATCATATGTACAATCGCTTTAATAAATACAAGTTAAGGACTTTGAGGAGAGCATGTAGTAACTATTCATTTTAACAGATCATCATAGGCATTTTCACTGTTTGAAGCTCTACCAAAAAGCAAGCATGCAGCAGAGGTATAGATTATATTTAGAGATATGGTTTCATTTATTTTAGGAATCCTATAATCTGGCATTATTTAACCACAAAGTCCCGTTTGACGTTTGTCAAATCCAAACAAATTAATCTTGAAAACTTCCAAGGCCCAGCGTCCCCAGCTCTGAGCACAAGCAGATTACTATAAAGGCCCTGGGGGCAGATCGTGGTGGGAGGAGCTTGAGGAGAGGCAGGAAAATAGGCCTGGGAGGCTGGCTGCCTCTGCAGGGGAGAGACTGTCTCAGCCATACATTCTCTCATCACCTTTTGTCCTGAGGCACTTCAGAGGTTAAATATGATATCATGCATTATCCCAAAATATGTCTATTCTAATTAGATAATTCATAATTTAAAATGTGTTCATGCAGTAGCAAAGGTAGAAAGAAGTAATAGTCAAGAACTGGAAAAACTCAGACATTAAAGATGTTGAAA